CGATTCGGTGGCTGAGAATTACTCCTCTCCCCGATGACCGGGCTTCCTTATCCTCGCGCTAAAAGCCGGCAGCCACCACGCGGGGGACGCGTGTTACACATAATCCGCCGATGGAATTTCTTTGTCGGGGGAGACCAAGAAGGAGCGGCCAACGGCCGGGGGTATTAAACTTCCCGGTGCCATTCCGCGTGATGTACACGTCCGTGGAGTCTTCGCACGGTATTTACGAGAAACCGAGAGAAACCGAGAAATTCATAATGGCAGTGTTTTTCGTAGCTCGTGCCGTTGGGGTTCCAAGTTTCGGAAATCTGGGAATTCGAGTCGCGACGGGACTCCTTTCGCTTCTTAGCTACCGGATGGATCGAAACGACTCATTCTCGATTTCTTCTTTTACGACTGTCGAAAAGACACGCTTGAGAAGTTTTTCGGCTCATACGGTAGCACGCGAACTTCAATGCGTAAACGTTTCAGAGTTTCTATGAAGTAGAAGCGAACCGATTGGATTGCTTCGGAAGTAGTACTGTAAATTAATAGGACCCCAATTTTTCGTCTTGTTTGAACGGAAACGTTTCGTTATCGACCTTCGATCCTTCGACGTCCCGTTCGAAAAAGGAATCCATCCAGCGATCGCCATACGATCATTCGCAAGCCAATATCGAGGTAAAGGCCTTTCCCGCAACGACCCGGCAAAAATTAAACTGGAACGCGTGTCCACGCCCGCGCCCGAGAAAAATGAGACCCTCACCGATGAAATCGAAACCGTTCCCGGCGATCCGGTATCCCCAGTCCACTTTCCCGACGAAACGGCGCGACGACGATCGTCCACTTTCCTGCGGCGTGTTCGTCGTACCTTTTTTTCCCTCCACTTTTCGCTCGGTCCCACTCTCTTTCCTTTTTTCGACGCGAAAACGTGGACGAAGGGGGAGAAACCGACTCGCCCTAATGCGAATAAAATTGCGTCCGGCGGGCACGGTCCCTCGAAAACGTAATACGCCGAAGGAAACCGTTGCTGCTCTGTAATCTCTGCCCGCGATCATCGATTACTTAATCGCTCGACGGTCCAATGGAATTCGCGTCGGTAGCGCGACGAAATATCGCAGGATCGCGGTCTTTCGATTCGTTCCCCTTTCTCGTCACCGATTACGCGTGGCCAGGGATTTTTTCCGGCGATTGTCGGCTGTATTGAGTCACGCCGCGATTACCGTCTACAAACACCGAACGGAATTATCAACGATATCTGGTGTTCGTGGCTTCTTTCAACTATCGAAGATAGGAAAGTGGACGAATTGCGAGTAAACGACTCAACCAGACGCTCGCTATTATTTACTACTATATCATTCTAATAATCACTATTATTATTTTATCATAGTTATTCAACTATTGGGAAGATACTAACAGTCGCGAAGAACGTCCAGCAGAAACGGATCACCGTCCACGGCTGAAATTCGCACGGTTTAATTGACTGACGCGCACGAGAGGAACCACCTAATCATGGAATTCGGTGAAAGCGGATCGGTCACGGTCACCGTGGAACCGATCCGAAGCCGCTAATTCGTTTTCACGCTTGCACGGGTGCATCGAATCCCCTTTAACCGGACTCGGTCCATTGGAGATTTCGTGATCGGTCGAAATTCACTCATTCCTCCGGCTGCAGCGTTACGGTTAGACGCCGCGGAGAAAAGCTGCCGCGGCGAAACCACCGGTTTCCGAACGCGTCCGCGTTCACCGTCGCGTTCTCCTCGGGTCCCGCCGCGGCGGAGGGGACGAGTGTTTTGCCCCGCAGCATCCGCGGCAGCGTTACTGCATTGTGCGCGGTTTAGTGTGCAATAAAGCGGCAGGGCAGAAAATCCCCGTGTTGCGGAGACGATAGGCCCGGCGCTGGCACTTAAAACGGTACTTTAACGACGACAAGATCTCGATTACGAGGTAGAATTCCGAAAACGTTTATTCTTCCTCTCGTCCTGCCCTTCTCTTTTTCGAGAAATCACGGGGAGATCGCGGGCGCAACGAGGAAGTCGGCGGCGCGCGATTATTCTCGATTATCCCCCGGTGTTCGCCGCGATGGGAGCGTTAATAAAATCGAGCTGCCCCCCCTCCCGGTCGTTCGACGACCCGTCGTGTCGCGACGGTTTACCGTAAGCCCGAGCGAGAGGCAAACGAAAGCAACGAGAATCCCGGCTGAATATTACAATAGGTGGCGGAAGATCGAAGGCGGCGGAGGGCGTTGGTCGGCCGGGTTGCAGTCGTCGCATTCCCGCTGCCTCGGCGCAACGAGCGGCATGCGGTGTGCAGGTGCACGTGCGCATCACGATGCAGCTACTCTTCAGCCATACGCCGGTATGAGCCGCGGTTACCGTGGCCGCGCGCCCCGCAAAAACGTAATTTACGGTCGTACCGTGTACGGTGGACAGAGACCGGGACGGACAGCGGCGGAGGGAGCGAGAGAGAATGATGGAAAGAAGGAAACGAATAGGGAGAGAGTGTGAGAGAGACGAATGGAGAACGGCCGGGACCAAAAAGAGCCGGGGCGGCGAGTCCTCGTCGAAATTCTACGGTGAATCGGCGGAAGAGAGACGGCGCTGCGACGATGAGCTGCGGCAGGAGCGAGGAGCGCAGCCCGTTGTTAGATCCTCGTTCGCGGAATCCTTGCAAGTTTCTCGGGGAACGGTCCGGGAGACGAGAAGGAAGAAACGGGCAGGACCGCAAGGATGGACGCGCAGGACTCGAAGAATCCTTGGCGAGGGAACGGGCCAAAGAAACGAACAAGAGCGAAGACCCGTCGTAGTCGTCCCTTCGCGGTCGCTCCTCTTCGCGAGGCTTTGCCCCGTGTCCTCGCTGAACAGAGAAAAACAGAGGAAGAGAACGGGGCAGGAGCGAGAGAGACGGCGGTCAAGAGGAACGAGAGAAGAAGACGCGTCTCCCTCGCTGGTTTCCAGGTGCGCGATTGCTTCTAATTGCCCGCGCGCTGGCCCCGAGGCGCTGCCAAAGTGAAATTGCTCCGAGGAGAGAGAGAGAGAGAGAGAGAAAAGGGGGGATACCATTCGCGCTCTCCTCAGGCCAGGCGACAACGAGCCGGCAGAAAAAGGGTACAGGGAAGAGTACACCGGCTGCCGCGCTGCCAGGGTCATGATCCGCTTCGGAACCGCCGCCGATTCGAAGCGTTTTCACTAATTAACGTCCAGGTCCGCGCGCGAGGTTTTGCGCCGCAGTGCCGGCGAGAAACTCTGATCGGCCGTTACCCGGTGGCTTTACTCTTTGCTCGCGGGTCGCGTAATCCTTCGGCGTTTACCTCGATCCTGTGTGTTTCCCGCGTTGGTAGACAGTTGCGCGGGATCGGCGGAAATGCCGTTTCGCAAAAGGAAACCGTCCAATGGAAAAACCAAGCGGCGGATCGAAACGATACGGCGATATACGCGACCGGGGGGCGTTTCCGAAAATATTTCTCGCGATGCGCTCGCGAGAACACCTAGGCACCGGCGCAATTAATACGCGCATTGCGATCATCGGTTCGCGACGCAACGAATCGATTCGCGAGCGTGAAAGCGGTCAGACAAGAGGAGCGAGTGAGAACCAACGAGATGCACCCTTCAGCCGGCAACATTTGCATGCCTCCCGAGAGCGGTTTTTGCGCGGGGGCCCCCGTTCGGTTATCGATGGGAACGTTTCAGCGCGGCGAATAAAGAAGGTAGGCGTTTCCCCGCGAGTCGGTTTCGCCTCGAATCCCGCGGAACGATCTTCCTGGCCGGCGAACGCGAGCGCCTTTTTCACTTTACGAGGCTGTTGCATCCTCTCTACGCCGGACAGACCGGACCAGGCCCGAGCGGGCTCGCTCGTTCAGCACGCTCGTCGTCTTGTAAAAGTCAATATTTATGAGGGTGCTAACCACCGTCATCGCTCATCCCGACTCGTTAACCAGCTCCGCCGGCGTACCTTTGTGTTTACATCCGAAGGACAGGGGCATACTCTTTATTGTCAGCCCTAAGAAAACACGTCCAACGTTGCATCCCGAGTAGCCAGGTACGTGCCTGGCCTCGGGCGAGATCTCCTTATCAGCAGCTCCCACCTCGCTCCACCCCCCAGGAGACCACGACGCCAATCTTTTCCACGGTGTTTTTAGTCAAAACACCTTGGTGAACCGTTCACCTTTCTCCTCTTCCTCGTTCGCCTCCTTCTGCATCCTTGCCGTCGATCAGGACCGAGTATATAAACAAACTTCGTACACGGTGAATTTTAAGGAGCTGTCTCTGAAGGCATGTATTTTTACGAGGAATTAAATTAGAGATAATGGGGAGACTAGACAGATGTGAAAAACTGACGCGCTTAAAGAAGCGAATGTTTGAGATTGAAGGCGTCCAGGCGTCAAGGGTTAAATACCATGAGCGTTTCGACAGAAGACCGTGGATCGCTTTATCTCGAGGTCCCCGAGCTCGTTCGATCGTCGGCGATTCCCTTTCGAAAAGGTTACGGGCACCGTGGTTAGCGTAATTGCGACACGCTGCGCGGCGCGACGCACGCGAGAGAAAGGAGCCAACGTGCTTCGCAGAAGCAACAGGTGCCGCGCATTCTTCGTCGACGCGGCTCGGTTCGAGTGCCGCCATCTCTCCACGGAGACTCTCGTTTCACGCTACCAATAGGTCACGAGCAGTCGATAAGAAGAGACCTACCATTCGTAGGATCATCCGAGTTCCCTAATTAAAAACAATGAAAAAAGTGGGTTCTAAGGCTGTTAAATCGAATGGGCAAAGCATTGCGACCAACGGAAGCCCTCTTCAGGTTCCTTCAAGCCTGAAGGTTTAAAGGTCATCGATATTTCATCGACGGGCGACATTCCAAGGTCTAGGACACCCTAACTTTCAGATGTCCTCGGTCGTGTCCCGATAAAACGGTGCCTCCGAATACCAAAAAATCTTCATTCGAAACTGGTGTACGCGCCGGACTCAGTATGCAGGATCATTCCGTAGAATGATCATCCAAAATCCCAGTCAATTTAAACTACTCACCCTCTGGCAATGCTCGGCAGTGACCACGGCGAGGTCTGCGAGCGGCTGGAAGATGACATCGTGAAATTCAGGATGATTCCGCGCGAGCGGCCTCGCGTACAACTCTTTGGCACTGCACAGAGCCTCGTGGTACTCCTCTTCAGCGTGCAGGAGCTTCTCCGTGGCCCTGTACCTGCGATCGGTATCTGGAACGACCAAAAGGAAGGTTACGCGCTTCAGAAACGAATAATCCCGGCTACCATAGCCCTGGGCGAAGTTTAAGTACGTAGCTGCCGCACAAGGTAACAAACCTACCTCCTATCGGATCGTATTGCCTGGCGGAGTCCTCGATCAGCAAAACCTCCCCGTGCAAGAGTCCGACGTCGGCCGCGGGATCGACCTCGGCCCTGGACCCAGCGAGCAACAATCTGGGCCTGCAGACCCGGTACTTCAACAGCACGGGAGCGACCACGGTTGAGATGGCTCCGGGAGACGCGCCAGGTAGCTGCAATCAAAGGTAACGGATCATCCAGAGACGAAATACAGAGGCTGCGTAGACTCGTTCTAATTTTCTATAAGCTAAATTCTAATTAGCTCCGATGTTTCATCGAATGGTATAGAAACCTCCCACTCATCCTACAAACCAATGCCTTACAGTTAAATCATTCGAGCGGTCGGCTTATCTTCGTGTACCCTAAACTGAACGCGTCAAACTCTTTCTACAAAAGACTCGGCCAACGATAATGATCCGATCGTGAGAAGAATTCCCGCTGCTTCAATGTAAACGAAAGGCCGTACGGCGAAACCCGGCAACAAGCGTTGCAATCCCGTGAGCACGTATCGCTCGTAATTTCCCGAACGGCATCGATTCCACGTCCGTTCGATACCTGTCCCTGGTCGCCGGCCCGATGTCCCCGGAGACAGAACTCCACGGGAATATCCTAATTACGACGGAGGGGACAGGGTGGGCGGTGGTCGTAAAACGAGACCCCGAGGGCCAAGTTAGACCCCGAAATAGCTTTGTTATTGCGCGCGTAAAGGTGCAGCAGCCGGTCGGGATTCTTCTGCTCACGAAATTTCGCAGGCGGAGCGGGACGACGCGAGAGACGCGCGATTAAACGGCCATTCGCGGACTCGAACGATTCTCTATCCTCTTCCCTCTCCGCCCCCCTTCCCTTTTAATCCGTCGATCTCGCTCCTTCTCCGTTCGTCCCTCTCGCCGCGGGAGGAAGATCGGCCAACGGCCGGATATTTACGATCTGACGACGTAACAGGCTATAGCCCGGTCTCGGGATCAGATAAAATTCGCGAGCCAGAAGTTGCACCGGTGAAACGACCCTTCGGCCGCCACGTGTAACCCGGCCTCTCCGCCTGCCGCGTCATTCTTTCTGGAATATTTCAGAGGCGCTGCTGGTGGCTCCGCTCGAGCGAACTTTAATCGTAAATTACGCGCAACGAGAATACAGAAACAACCGTAGAGAGATGCATCGCGAACGCCGCTGCGGCAACGCGATTGAACTTTCCCCTATGAAAACGCGGTCGGCCGCGATTCCCCGCGCTTTCGTCACCTCTTCTGTAACCGTTGCGATCGAGGATCGCTCGACTTTGCTTACCGTTCAGGCTGCGCGGCCGTTTAACGCGTCTGCTGCGATGGTCGGTGACGATTGAACCCTTTGAATCGCTTGGAAACAATCGCAATGTACAATACGACTGATATACAGTAGAAATATTTGATCTTTAGTTCTCCTTGGAAATTTGCATCGACGTTGTTTCTTTCGATCGTAGTTTAACGTGGCATCATTTACTTAGGAATATTTGGAAAGCATCAAAATGGTACTTGCACGATGAAGTTGGAATTATTAATAGTTAGAGGAGAAATAGAAATACTTAACTGCCAGAATAAAATTCGAATGGCTAAACAATCGAGTAATACCGTAATGTTAGAATATTGCGGTACCAAATAATTAATAACCGATTGTATTTGTCACTGCCACGGGAAAATAAGTGATACACAAAAGGCTCGAGACTCTCGCGGCAGTCGACACGTTAACCCGCCAGGTAACCTTACGCCGGCGCGAGCCGCGGCAATTATCGTTTGCTAACGGAGCAGGACAATGCAATTTAATCTCGCTTCAACGACGATAAAGGGGATACGACGGTGCAGTAACAGTTTACAGCGTCATCGGACGCCGATCTTTCTAATCGTCGTTCTCGGAACGCCGCGCAACGGATCCCTCACCTGCGTCGAACGTAATCGACGATGATGGCAAGGTTAAAGACAGAGAGAGAGAAAGAGGGAGATCATCCGAGATCATCGGCCGCGATCTCCGTTGATACGATCGGTATGATTCCGAAGAATCCGGCAATCGTCGGGCTCGATCGCTTCGATCGACCGTTGCCTGGTCGCGTGTACCGTTAATCATATCGAAAATTCTCTTTTCCATGCGAGCGCGAGGTGTCCCGGAGCGGAGTGCAGGAATTCCGGGAGCGCACGCATTGTTGCTGCTGCGCCGCGAACCTGGCCGAGCGCACGCCCGAGTCGCATTCTTTTCGATTATAAAACGTGCGTGCCCGTTACGCGAAACGTAAAACGATATTTCCTATCGCCAATCTTGTTTGTTCACCTGAGTTTGCAACTAGATACGCGCGCAACGACACAATCGTCGGATTATGGGACGGATTCGATGAATCTCGTAACCCAATAGAAATATCCTACAATTATTTCGTAAAGGTTTTTAGATATTTAAATACTTGTTATCTATTGTATTAAAACTCTTTGTGAACTCCTTACGCTTCATTTAGATCTCTTCCTTCTCTAGACTCAAGGGCATCCGCCTGTCAAATGAATAAATAAATAAATAGATACCTAGATGCACAATCAACTGTACTATAACATATTTCCTCCTACCCCACTTTCTTCCTTTTGTCATTCACATTGTCAAGCTTCAGATACAAATCAACTCGCTATCTCGAAATTCTTATTGCACGTTGCTCAATGCTTATGCGAGAAAGAATCCATTCTCGTTAAGTCGGAATAAATGAAATGGCACGAAATTAAATTATATTTCTGCGATTAACGGGAGAGGGTACGTATCGAGGGTCCGCTATCTTCTCTCTCTCTCTCTTTCTCTCTCTCCGACCGTTCCTCTCCCGTCGACCGCCGCAGCGGAGCTGCGATATGCCGTCCGACGTCGCGATTAAACAAGCATCGCGCGTTATCTGCGAGTTTTTGCTCGCGGACAAGCGGCGCGGAGCCAGACCGTGTTCCCGGTATCGAAGAGGAAACCGTGAGTCCGCCCACTCTCGCTTTTAATAAAGCCAAACCGGAATCGTAAAGCTGAATCTAAATTGCATAATTATACCGGTCCGTCCTTCTTCTTCCCTCGTTTTCGACGCGTTCCCTCCTTCTTTTCGCCCCGTAACCTTCGCGCGGCCTTTCTCTACCTCTTTCCTCCGCTGCGGCCCCCCCCCTGCCAACCCTTTTCCTCTCCGTTCCTCCCCGAACGCGCGAGCGAAACTGCGCGGCGCGGCGCACGATTATAAATTGCTGCGACCGGGCGAATCTACAACCGCGAGGCGCATCTTCCCCGCGGGACACGCTTTAAAACCGGCCTTATTCGACTGAAAGTGAATCGCCGCGCGCATCGAATATGTACGCTCCAGCGAGGAAGCTCTTTATATTGTAATTAAACTTTCGATAGCGGAACGCTAGCGAATGGGAGGCGATACGTATTCGGAATAGAAGTTGCCATCGTGGTTCGCAGTGGCTTGTGATTTTTGTTTTCTTCCTTCCCCCGATCGAACGTATTGGTCGACCATCTGATAAACATTTATATCACGAGAATTGGAGACGTTCTAGCAACTCTGGGATTGTGTCGTTAATACTAGATTTACGGACGTTTATTCTACAATTTATTCTATTGGTTCCAGGGAACTACGGTTTATATATTATATAAACTGATGATAGATCGAGAAAATTGTAGCTTCGAAGATAGAGTGTTACAGTGTTTATTCGAACAATTGCACGAATCTAAATCGAGTTATTAAGTGATGTTTAAAAAATTGAGTATCCGGTATCATTGACGGGTTCGGTACATCAATCATTAAACGCATCGTTTGAACGTCGTCGCAGCCGAACGCGAATCGTGACGCTCAGTCAACGCGCAACTTCGGAACTTTCGAACAGCCGGCGTGCCGCGTCGCAATCGCGGTTTCACTAAGGCCGTGGTGACATAAATAATTTACATAAGGCTAAACGATTGGTGTTAACATTGACATTTGACGCGGCAACGTTGAAATGTGAACGAATAATAATACGAAAGGGTAATATAAGTATATGTTAAATGTAGAAAAATCATGTGAATTTTGCGGACAATTAATCTGATCAGTTCTCACCGCGGTCTAAAGCGCCTCTGGTACAGTAGAGAGACGACTTGACGTCTAACGGAATCGCACAGGTGCAGTAGGTGTCTTCCTAGTTTACAGTTCCATAGTTTCGATCGGTTACGTGCAGCCATATCGACGAACAGTAAATTAGCGATCGAAAATGTCAAGAATTAGGAAACAAAACCGACAGAATATTAGCCGGAACAAAATGAAAACAGATCGATCGACCGAATTCCTCAGGCTAGCCATCGATCTAGCAGTACTCGATGAACGCGTGTTGCGGATCCGGCCGTGTATCGATAGCAGATCGAGTCTCATTCTCTGTCTCCCTCTTCGTTTCTCTTCGCGCGAGAATCCGCTCGGCGTGCGTTTGTTCGAAACGCGTACGCAACGTACATCCTGTCCCTCCCAGCCTCATTACGGGACAATGAGCGTCGTTACATCGATCACGAGAGCCAGACCGTTCTCGTCGAGAGGCGGAAGAGAGCGCGACCGCAGAGAGCCATCTTCGCGATCGAAATTACCCGCGTTTATCGGCCAATTTTGCGACTAAGCGTGCTCTCGTGCTGCTAGCGTGTCGCGGATAGAATCGAAATCGAAGCGAGTCGACCGTGATTCTTCGAACTGCGACGGAAGTTTCATTGCAATTAGTTTAATCCAGTAGAATAATTAAAACGAACAATTAATTTGCTAAAATAGTTAACTGCAAGCAGCAGACGGGTTTAATTAAATCGCGTAAGGAACGTTTGAAAGTCTTAAGGATAGAATGTGGAAAATTTCGAAAAGTGGAGTTCATACGTAGTTTGTTCTTCGAACGACTCGAATATGTAAAGGAATCTTATCAGTGGCTATTAGCGTGACACAGTTGACAACGACGATCGTCAAGGATTCGAATAATCGTCGAACTTACAAAGTCAAATGCGGAACTCCTTTTTCTTGGCTGATTAACTGGTTAAGGGGAACGATAGGGACTTCAAGCTCGATCAGAATTTCAGCCGATGACGCACAAACGCGCTCCTTTTCCAATCATTTTCGCATCAGCCGCGTCTCGGCTAGATTGAAGCGGCGCGACCGTGCTCGGCCGGCGGGCGATCCGTTTGATGAGCGGTAAACGGTCCC